AGTTATGTAAAAATATTACAAGCGTACACATGCACACATACAACCACGACCACACGCAGAAACATAGAAACCCTCACATGCAGATACACACACACGCATAACACCGCTACACATAAGTACACACAAAATCCTCATGCACACGCCGCCCTCTACATTCTAACAGATGTGTGAACACATGCATGTAAAAATGGTAACGCAGACTCAGACATAAATGAGAAGACATTTTTGTTACTGTTTTTAACCCTAAACAAGACCCAAGAGCCACTTAAGGTAGAAGGTTATTAAATGAGGTTGTTGAAAATAGATAAGGGTTGATTCGAGAGTTGAAAAAGTGATCATCTCAGGAGTCTGTTCTACAATGTAACGATTCTCGGGAAGAAGCTGTCCAAATGGAACTTCTTTCTTACTAATGGAATATCAAGGGAATGGTCAGGATTCGATCCTGTGTATATCGCATGGAGGGTCCAAGCAGTAAAGGCTTGAACTGGTGAAACTAAGAAAACGGTACACGTTTATATTATGCTTCAGAAATGTAAAAATATATCTGCATTCTGTCACTATTCGACCCAATATATATATATATATATATATATATATATATATATATATATATATATATATATATATATATATATATATATTTATTAGGTTGTTACATAATCCTGGGGTACTACCACGTAGTGTAATGGCTAGCTAGCTTGTCATACTAGATCAATTACGACTGAGTAGTGAGTTCGTTCCTAACTGGGTGGACTATACTTTTGTTGCTATAACTTTAGAGCCAGCATCCAAAAATGTATATAAATAAAGCAAATTAAATGAAAAGATACGTCACACATCGTTTATGTCACTGCACTTTCCCTACGTCACAACACTCAGTAGTTGCACGAAACTAATCATTTTCTTTACCTACCCTGATGATGACTTGAGAAAGTCGAAAGCTTGGAGCAATTTCCTTCTGAAATTCGGAGAATTTTTGAAGAAATTTCTCCCTTGTCTGAAAAGGCTTTTTCGTTATTTTTGAAAAGTCGATCAATAAAATTAGTCAACACAAAACGTCTGTTTTTTTTTAATAATATTTGCCTTAAAACACATATACACACACACACACACACACACACACACACACACACACACACACACACACACACACACACACACACACATACGCGCGCGCGCACAAATATCTATGGAGAACGAATATAGACCAACAGATAAGATGCCAGAAAACCTTAGATAAGAAAAAAATCTCGAACAAAGAAAGAAAAAAGTCGACAAATGGGCAAACACCCCCCTACACAGTAAATTGAAGACCTCAACGCCTAGACTAATTGGGCAGGGCAAAAAAAAAAAAAAAGCCACCCCCAAAAAAGACTCACGGAGTCAACACTCAGTGAAGGACAGCTACTCAAGGTTAAAGCTCTTTCGATCTTCAGGCGACTAAAATACACACACACATACATACACACACACACACACACACACACACACATATATATATATATATATATATATATATATATATATAATTTTAGAAAAAGATAAGCAAGTCTAAAAAGAATCTGCTCAAAAGTTGCTGGTAAAAAAGTTAGTTCGCCATCTTGAACTCGCCTGTTAATGTTAATGAAAATTGAGGAATAAAAAGACAACAAATTGATAAAAAATATTGCAATATTGGCAATACATTGATGATATTTATTATATATATGTCATATATATATTACATATTTGTAAGCCTTTTGAATTATTTCAACTATGGATACCTTCTCATGGTTTTCCTCATCAATAATATGCTGGTCTCTGAGAGTTATAATAATCAAGCAATAAAAATAAATAACTAGTAAAAAAAAATGATTAGCGGATTAAACTATTAATTTAACCATCTTGGTAAAGCGATAAGAACATATTGTTCAATTCTAGAGTTCGTTAAATATCTTTAAACAGTATTCAATACAATACTTCTCCGTGCCCTTAGATACAAGGTAAATATGCTTGCTGCACCTTTTGTTTACATGTGGTGAACCTGTCATAGTTTGCACCACTTGTAAAACCACCAATATCATTCATTCGTACTCGGCTTACTGTTGCCAGATATCAAAATCATTTATCGGCTGTTTTGCTTCCGTATGCAAAAGAAATTACTGATGCCAATTGGAAGTTCCAACAAGACAAACCACCAGGCACAAAGCAAACTACAACGGTTTCAAAACTTTATGTCTGACGTTATGAGTTGGCCAGGAGGTTCTCTTGACGTCAATCTAATTGAGAATTTGTCGAATATCCTTGCTCGTAATGTGTCCTTCAATACCATTCAACCCAATAACGAAAAAGATCTATACAGGATGCATGGGTTTCAATAAATAATGATCAATGCTGTAGAATTATCGAAACCTTGCTAGAAATCATTTTTAAGGTTGTTGAGTTTTACAAGTTATTAAAAATACAGTTTTGCTTGACATTCTGTTGTTGGTTTTATGATTCTGCTACAGCCATTTTGGGGCTTTTTAAAAAAATCTTTGAATACGTACTTTTCAAAAGTTACTTGAAGAAAGATTTTCTTATGACATATGTATATGTATCACACACACACACACACATATATATATATATATATATATTTATATAAGTACAATATAAGCTTTTTATAAAACTTTTAATAAAACTTTTAGATTTTAAAAGATTTTATAATTTTTTATCCTCTTATAAATATATCAGTATATATATATATATATTTATATATATGCGTGTGTCTCTCTCTCTCTCTCTATATATATATATATATATATATATATGTGTGTGTGTGTGTGTGTGTGTGTGTGTGTGTGTGTGTGTGTGTGTTTGTGTGTGTGTGTATGATATATGATAAACTAATAATATAATGGCAAATCAGCTAAATTCAACCTTCAGTATTTTATTAATACTGTTTTCTGGCTAATTCTATTTCTTCCTGGGGTCTGCAATTCTTTTTCTCTTTATGTAAGTCTCCTTCAAGACTATTTAATATGCTCCAAGAATGATGGGTATTGCCATATTCATATTCTGCAATTTCTTGATTTTTCAATTTTTTTTTACTAATTATTTCCTATGCTCGACATGGGTTAAATAGCAGGGTAGATTGAGTTCTCTAGCCTTGTGTGGTAGCCAGTCTAAGAGGACAATTCCTCTGAATTGGAAATTGGGTAAAAAATCGGAAAACCATTATTTTTCCCGCAAAGGCATTGCAATTCAAGTATAATAATGAAAAAGAATATATAGGGCTTTTCTAAGTGACACTAGGCCGAAAGTATGGGGAACCCTGTGAGAACCGAACTCACTACTCAGTCGTAATTGTTCTAGCGAGAATCTATGATGAGCCAAGATTTCCTAAATGTCTCCTCTTTTCAAAAATAGAAAAAATTACTTTTGGTATCGATGAATAGATTGAATGGTGACATCCATTTTCTGAGAGTTTTTTTTTTTTTTTTTTTTTAAAACTTAGATTCGGTATCTTATTTTGATTTCAGTGGTCTGTCGAGTCCAGTGTGTATGCATTTATTATCTAAGAAACTGTACTTTCTATTTGTTTATTACAAAATCTATGACTGATTTCTTCTATGACAAATAAAAGAAAATAGTATTTAATAAGGATCTATTTAATCATCAATATAGCGAAACTTATTTTCAATAACCTTATTGCATCTTTCAATGAGCATTTTAACATTACGTGTATAAGATTTAAGTTTTAAGAGCCTAAGTCTTTTTTTATTGTCTCTTGAAGTTAATCTAAGTTCATTCAAATGACTTTGTAAACTTTTAAATAGATGCTAATCCAGAGGAGTAATATCTGGGGAATATAGCGGATGAAGCATTTTTCCGTCCTTCCATAAGATAATTGGTAATTCTTTCAGTATAAGATTGTGCGTTATCGTGGTGACGTTTGCTAAATATTGTCCAAAGTTGCATTTAAACGACTTAACCTTTGTCTGTGATATGTCTGATTATCGATAAAATAGGTCTTAATAAACGATTTCCTGCATATCGCCTGCAAAATTCAAATCTTACTGGATGGAATCCCGCTCTTGGCAGCTGAGCATGCTTTCCACGATGGTCAAGCCATTTTGGCAAATGATTCACTTCTCATCTCCAGTAATGACTGTCCTAAAAAGTTACTTGAAACTGATATGAGTGAAATGACGCACAGTAACCAAGACGTTGTTTTCGATTTTCTTCTGACAGGTCATGTGGAACCCACTTTCCAACAATTTACATATTCCCAAGCTTTTTAATCGACACTATCCTAAACTAATTTCATATGGCTATCATTGAAGAGTCCGCTGAGTTACCAAGTCTAATGGCTCGTTTAGCATCAACAACTGCTTCCAGTAAGTTAGAATCAAGGCCTCATGAACTATTTTGTCTTGGCTCATTTTAGACGCAAGTCCCACTTTCTGAAACGGAAAACAATCTATGCCGTGTTCTTTCACACATTACGCTATCACCGTATGTGCATTTGATGGATTTTACTGCTGTATTTGCATTATTCCCTCTGTGAAATGCATAGAGAATGCCATGATGAATGTGTTCTTTACTAGAATGGGCGGATTGGAAAGCTTTTCGTTAAATAATTTTCACAGGATCTGAAAGAAAAATGAAAGAGAAGTCATCTAGAAACTGGCAAATACCAGTTAAAGATTGAACTACGTTAAACCTTGTTTAAAATATTCACTCGAAAAATCGGACATAACTTCCGTTAAAATCTGATTTTTTTACCACTGGTATATAATTATATAACCAATATATTTTGAAGTTTAACAGTCAATTATCGCAGATAAGATATAGAATGTAAATTGTTAGTTGTGCTGAAAATGGAATAAATCTCTGGATTTGCAAATCAGTCAAAAGAAGTAGTGCCGAGAAAACATATCTTTCATATCGTAAACCACTCCAGGACGTGGCCGGTTATGGCACTCTACAGCTTCCCCTTTTTTGTTACTTTACATTTGACACTTTACGATCCAGGCATACGGCCACATCTCGTTGAAACACCGGTTCCCGCAAGGTCACCGAAGTTAAGCAACGCCGAGATTAGTCAGTACCTTGATGGATGAGCGTTTGGGAGTACCAGGTGCTGTAAGCTTGGATGTGCGAGAGGTGTAATGAATAATGCTTCGGAATTGTTAATCACAGGGACAAGTTTCAATTTCAATTGCGTTCATTGTGTTCGCTTCCACGCAAATGCTCTTCGGAAAGACGCAAATCCACCTTAGTAATTAGAAAAACTTCTATAACTTAATTTATTATTATCTAAAAAAAATCTTACAATCTAAAAATATTTCTGGCTTTAAAAAACCGAATCAATCAATCTGTATGATCGCTCATTGTTCTGTCATCCATTCCCACAAAGACACCCAGATGTACAAACGTTAAATAAGATTACTCGCCCGTTCTTTGACTTTCGTTATGTCCTGTGAGTATTAAATTCTCAAGGCTTTCTTTCCTCACCATGTGTCTCAGAAATTTCAGCTATCTTTTACTGGTTGTAAATAAGTTTCCTTGTATTTTCTATCTTCCTCAAACCTTTCTCATTCTGCGCAAGATTTGTCCCTGGCATCTTCAGCATCCTTCTGTAGAACCACATTTCTGTTGCTTCAAATCTCTTCTACATTTATGAGGAGATTGTCCAGTATTCACTACCATATGGGAAGAATGATATTACGTAACACTTCAAAGAGCTTATAAAGGTTATTTAAAGCCAGAAATATTTTTAGATTGTAATAATTTTTTTAGATAATGATTTAATGATAGAATTGTTACTAATTACTTAGGCTGATTGATTTCCTAAAATTCCTTAGTACTGATGATAGTTTGTGATGTTTCCGTTAGTTTATGCGAAAATAATTATTAGTAGGAGCAAAGCATAATTTGGTATGTTTTAAATTCGCCCACAATAACTTATATCAAAAGCAAGCAAACGAAAACTTAAAAAAAATGTTAAAAAAACGTGTTGGGTTTAAAAAGACTATTTTACCGAAATACCTACTGTCAGTATAAATTTAACTAATTCTTTATTCATATACATCAACATTCGTTTTCAGTGATACCGGTCATGTACAACAACAGTATAAAGCAATTAGTAGTATTAGAAGAATGTAATTTTTCTAATCAAGAAATACTATGAAGAAATACCATGTCAACAATATAATGTTCGGTAAAATAGCCTTTTTAAAGCCAACACATTTTTTTAACAGGACATTAATAATAAAAAAAAGAAATTGTAGTTTGCAATCAAATAGTTAGAAACAGTATCCGAATAAGAAATCAGTTAGATCCGCCCTACAATTTTAGCTAGATGGGAGAAATAAATGGCTTATGTCAAAAATCTCCCCTGTGTCCATTAAGAATACTTACCACATTTGGGTGCTTTCCGTTTGGTTGCATATAGCTAACAAAAAGATTCTTCCCAATTATATTATTTTACATTTATCTAAAAACATTTTTCCTATGTACAAATCTCATTGATTATGCACAGATATTAATTTTTAATTTTTATGGACTGTTACATTTTTTATAAAAGTTTGCAAATTGCCCAGTGTTTTTTATGGCAAGGTTTCCTTGGTAACCATTTTTCTTTAAGTCTTTTGAGTTGTAGAGATAATGTTCTTAGTGAAGGACGAATTTGGCAAAAATAATAAAAAATAATTTTAAGCATGCAACTAGTTTCATATATTCCATCCTACATAACATAATTTGGGCACTTCAATATGATGTAATGGTTAGCAAGCGAGTCTCGCTAGATCAATTAAGACTGAGTAGGGAGTTCGATGGACCACAACGAAGCTAGTCTTAATAAATTGCCGTGGCAATAATTTATAAACATCAAACTGACAGTTTCCAATTATATATATATATATATATATATATATATATATATATATATATATATATATATATATATATATATATAGTTAAAGTTATGAAAAACTCAGTAATCCGTATGGGTCGTCCCAAGAATGACGAAATCCTGAAATGTAAATCAAGAGCTAATATTTTAAAAAAAAACAGACCACTTTAAGATTCCATTATAATAATTTATTTCAGCAGAGCCCTTTTGGAAGTGCTATCTGATGATTCGGTGTCCTTTAAAAGGGCTCTGGTGAAGTAAATTATTATAATGGAACCATAAAGTGGTCTGTTTTTCCTTAATATATATATTTAGATATAAATTTAAATGAAAATATATATATATATATATATATATATATATATATATATATATATATATATATATATATATATATATATAGTATATTTTCATTTAAACCTTTTTGTTGAATAATATAGATATATTGTGTCTACTTATTTTTATACTGATCCTTTCAAGTTGTTGAATTAGTTTCTTAGTGGTTTTTGTTAACTCAAGTACTTTCGGCCTTTTTCTGAGATAATCTTCAGGAGTGAATTACAAAGACAAACATGTTATTGTAACTCCGATAAAATTTGCATTCCGTTGCCATAGTATTTTTTTAGAAACACGCGTAAACGCGCTCTGTTATTTTATAATTGCTATTATTTTAGAAGTGTTACATTTTTATCCGTTATAATTATGGAATCGGCAGAAAACAAGCGTTCCCATATAAAGGAAAGGATCAGTATAAAATAAAACACAATATGTCATTATTATTCAACAATATATATATATATATATATATATATATATATATATATATAGTTACTGAGGTCAATACACACATATATTGGGTGTAACAGCAAAATTGTTCAAATCGTGTAACAGCAAGAGTGCCCAATTGTTAGATTGTGTCTTAGAAATGATTAAAGATATCTTACTGGAATTCTCCGAGGTTTTTCGAATATTATTGATTCTACTTTGAGCAGTAAAACTGTATAACCACTCTCCAAGCTTAACAGAAGAATCGTGATGAAATCGACCATAAAAGAAAATGATATGTTCATCATTAATTAGTCATAGCTAAGGATCGGAAGCTCATGAAGGATTGATATAAATTTCAAATATATATATATATATATATATATATATATATATATATATATATATATATATATATATTCTAGGATCATTTTCAAACTTATTCAAGATAATCTTCGCCCTCTAACATTCTAATCTTTTGATCTGGAGTAACAAGATGCTTCACAAGTTTAACATACGATTTCATTTTCAAGTCTTTTTCATTGCTCTTGGACTGTTATATGTGAAACACCTCTCTCACGTGCCAGACGTCTTATAGATTGAGTTGGCTCTTTTCTAATTGATCTCTTTAGTTTTAAGTTTAAATGATGATCCCTCTTGCTGTTGTGACCTCCTAATCCAGTGATCCTATCTATTGTTCCCTATTTTTAAAACTTATTCACCGTTCTCTTGATGCTTCTTGAAGTGACTTTGATGATAAAAGCCAGAGTACGAATTTTGGCACCATTACTGAATGCCTGAATGATCTTTTTCCACTCACCATTGCTTATTTGGGAAGAGAGTGGGACTGACACAAAACGATTTTAACCTGTTTCTTTCTAGCTGAATATGTCAAAGGGTTTTTCAGTAATTCTTACGACAAATGGTATCAAATTGACTAAATGTTTTATTTGAAAACCTGGAAAAAAGAAACTGATATGTCCCGGAGAGGGATATATTTGATCGAAATAGCTAAATGGTTTTGGCTACTATAACCAAGTAGAATACGGTAGCAGTAATCGACTGGTACGCGTCGTAGTCGCAGGTAATAGGTAAAGATCAATAGGATAGCCAATGGCGTAGTCCAATGGGCGTCGTCATAGACTTAAAAACTCTGTCGCACCTACACGTCCGTTTGTATTTATGACGGACACCAGTTAATCATATTCCAGTGAGGGGGAACACAGATGTTTGCATATTCTATTATATCAGAAACTCAATTAATTTATTTTTTTTGGGGGGGGGATATTAAACATTTTGTGGGATGGATAATTATGCTGTTACAGGATTTGAACAATTTTGCTGTTACTCTCTCTCTCTCTCTCTCTCTCTCTATATATATATATATATATATATATATATATATATATATAATATAAAATGGAGATTTATTATTTACTGCCACTGAATAGCCTGAATCTTTCTAAATTAGCATGTGGATATTTTCATGCAGTCATGGCTTTAAAAAGATAATTGCAACAGTCAATTTCGTGTGGTTTGTGTAAGTGTTTGGATATATGTTTTATGAAGTTAAGTAGGCAGTGTTGAATTAAATCAAGTATGGGTCATGAATAAGAAGACTTGGTATGACCCAAACTTAATAGAGATTTATGATGAGAAACAAAACCTCATTTTTTTCTCCTCTACACAAAACATTTTCGTAAGTGTAACATTGATAAAATGATTGTTTACAAAAAGTATACAAATACAAACAACAAATGAAAAAAAAGTGGAATTATTGAAATCTTCTACACAACTTCCATAACTATATGAAACTTTATTTTTAATCGATAAAAAAATCAAAATAGTTACTTTCTAATGTTTTTAAGGGAAAATTAGCATTCAACCGAAGCTGAGACAAAATGGCCGCAATTTTGTTCTCTGGGTTGCACGTTACTTTGGCAAGGCCCTGATTTTTATAATTACAAATGGAATACAATTAATGTTGATTCCTTTTAATTTTTATTTTGAGAGCAGGAAACTAAGGCACCATAAAATTGTGAGGTTCTGAGCTGTAGTTCGCACGGTCTGTATCAGAGGTCCCTAACCACGGGGCCACGGACCGGTATCTACATGACTCGCAAAGAAATAATTAAATCGTTTAAAATTATATAACAGATAAATTGAATATTGGATTTTAATTTAAAAAGGTTTGTTTCAAATATTCATCTACTCAATACTATCTATCATAATTGTAAGTACATTTTACAATTAATATATATTTTTATTTATTTGTAATAATTTTCAACTAATTTTCTAATCCCAATAAATTTTCAGATTCTACATTGATTCTACATTATGGTGGTTCGATATTGATGTGATAATAGTGTAATATGGATTGATTCAGGGAAATTAAGCATGCAAGGGTGTGGTCGAGCTGGAGTCCGGATATGAAAGTCAAAAGATTATTTTCTTCACTTTAATAAATTG